ATTAAAAAACGTCAAAAAACTCACATTTTCTATATGGAAGAAAAACACTAGATTTTTCCCATAAAATTAGCTTTTTTCATTATTTCTACTACCTCGCATATTTCAAAATACACTTATTCGATTCAGTTTTCCACGTTGCATCTATTGAATATATTTCGAAACATGTGAGGTAGTAGAAATAATGAAAAAAGCTAATTTTATGGGAAAAATCTAGTGTTTTTCTTCCATATAGAAAATGTGAGTTTTTTGACGTTTTTTAATGCATGCAATTTCTCGAAATTTCTTAAGTTCAACATTACAAAGTTTACAAAACCCTTACTATTTAGTACCAGTAAATCTCATTTTTGACGAGCTTTCATTTGGTATAAAATTCATTATATACTCCTGGAATAATATTATGTCCTATGGCGGAGCACGCCCATATATATATATTTTTTTTCTCAAGAATAAAAATAAAATCTATTTGTAGGTTCTTTGGCGTAGTTTATATTTACGTTTTTACGAAAATCAAAGACCTCAACATGAAGCTTGGGATGAATATTTAATTATTAAAGAAAAAGAAATACAACTTCGTTCATATGTCAATAAATTAAGACAGTAAACATATGAAAAAAAATTTTTATTTTTGTTTTTGATATAAATTAAATTATACTTGTTTATTTATTTTTTTTTATAGAGAATTACTTGAACTTGAACGAAAATGTACGGAAAAAAATAGCAATATGATTAAGATAGAAAAAGATACAGTCACAACAACTTAAACTAATTTGAGATTGAATGTCTTCCTTTTCGTTTTTTTTTTTCTTTTCTTGATTTTATTATTATTATTATTATTTTCCTTCCTTCGATATATATAATTACTATTATTATTACTATTGACCAATCAATCATAGTCGACCTTGTTCTAGTGATTTTTTTTGTTTTTTTTTTTGTACATTAGTGTGTTTCATTATTATCGAGAACAAATAAATATACATTTATGTCATATAAAATGAAGTCTGTGTATCTTTATCAAAGAATAATCAAATGTCCTTCTTGACTTTATATATATACTATATTTAATCATAAAATATATACATATGGTTGAATGTTTTTACAAGTATAAAAGAAAAAAAAGAGCATGAACTTGTCCCGCTGTAGGGCGTCCTTCACTAATTTGTGTCCAGCCAGTATACTTGTTCATCGTTTCTTTTCTTTTCTTTTCTTTTCTTTTTGTAATATAAGGATGCCGGTAATTGTACAACTTACTAAAGAATACCATTTCTTTTTCGACTCATATGGTGATTTGTGGTATTTTATATGTACTTTTTATATTGCGGATAGAAATATAAAAAAAAAGACGAAAAATTTCTACCTTTAAGGTTATAATCGAAAAAGAGGGAGGAGAAAGAAGAGGCCTTTTTTTTAATACTCATATTTCTTCTTCGTCTTCTCGATCCGTCTTCATTGTATGAACAACGAGTGTGTGTGTGCACTCACAGATTATTTAAGAGGATTAACTTTGCTATCTAACAATTGAGATGCCAAGTGAACAAGTCGAATGGTTTATGAAACAATCAGTACATGATAGTGATAAAATACATGCTCAACAAAGTTGTACTTATTATTCAATTGTAAATGTCAATAAAACAAACAATCCATATTTGAGTTCATATGAACAAGAACAAACATGGACATTAACACGAACAATATCAAATAATCATAAACGATATCAATCATCAATAGAAAATATTCATTTAACAATGCCTATTTCATCATTAAAAACTAAACATCCTAATTATGAAAATATTAATATAAGAAAAAATCGATCTATTTCACTTTTACCATCACAAAAATATACATCATTATCAGCAGTTCATTCTTCTTCTTCTTCTGCTAATAGAAATTCAATGGTTCATCAAGAACAAAAAATTTTACCAATAACAAACAGTACTTTAAATTCAAAAGTCAATTCAAATTTAAAAAATTCACTTTCATTAACCAAATCTATGCGTACCATTCCTGCTAGTGGTGACTTTGTTGTACGAATCTGAACGATTATTTGCTTTTTTTTTTTTGTATTTAAATTCATCAAAATAGAAAAAACAATTCATTTCTTATTATCGTCAAAGTGAAGTTTGATTGCTTTAGGATTTTATTCTAATTACATTATTTTCTTCTATTCTTTTTCTTTTGCATTGAAACAAAAAATTATTTCTACCTTGCTTGTATTCCTTATATAAACTTCTTTGTTAATATTAATGTATGATTTTAAATATAATTTGAAAATAGATTTGCTTTTCACATTATAATGGCATGATCAAGCGTTAATCAATATCATGTTTTTTGAAATTGTAATATCTATTTCTTATCAATGGCACAAACAAATTCCTTCAAACATTTATTATAGATAAAGACTATATAGAACTACTATCAGTTAAAATTTCATTGATTATTCTTTTAGCTGAAGTTAAGCTATTTAACAAATACAGACCGTTATGAAATTTCAAGAAGTGGATTTTTTGTAGTAGAGCTGAGAGTTATGCACGTTACTTCGAAACGAAGTGACATACGAATAAACTTTCTATATAAAAGTTGTTTAGATTTTAACACACTTACACAATATCAAGTTATTTCTTAACAAATATAACTGCGTCCAATAATAAACTAAAAATAGTGTTCGTTATTGAATTTCGTCGTTTTTTCCGAAAATCATCTTTTGAACCAGACTGAAAGCAAATAATAGCTAATACCAACAAAATATTCATCATCAACAGTGCAAAACGTTTAATGATCTAAAAATACCGTACAATTCAGATACTGATGAAATTCTGTCATACAATATTTCCAGAAAATAGATGCAGATATTAAAATGAAACGGCGCTGAAAATGGATGTGTTCGATGAAGTTTGTTGAATTCTATCTGGAAATGTTGTTTTTACTGCGAAAATTAGTGATATATGCTAGTAAAATACACTCTAAGCGAATTTCGTTATGAAATTTCATCAAAAACAGAGATGATTTTTAAATGTGTTATCTTGATTCGTCGATATGTAACATTTGTACGAAATTTATATGTTGAAAGAGTACTTCGTATCTGTGATCGATCGTTGTTTGACGATGTATTTCACTC